AGTGCGCTCAGCTGCAAGATTGTGGCCTTTATGGCTGTGCTCTTTTGCTTCCATGCGGCCTTCATGCTGTTCTGCATCAGCGTCACCCGCTACATGGCCATTGCCCACCACCGCTTCTACGCCAAACGCATGACACTCTGGACATGCGCAGCCGTCATCTGCATGGCCTGGACCCTGTCTGTGGCCATGGCCTTCCCACCCGTCTTCGACGTGGGCACCTACAAGTTTATCCGTGAGGAGGACCAGTGCATCTTTGAGCATCGCTACTTCAAGGCCAATGACACGCTGGGTTTCATGCTTATGTTGGCTGTGCTCATGGCAGCCACACATGCTGTCTATGGCAAACTGCTCCTCTTTGAGTATCGTCACCGCAAGATGAAGCCAGTGCAGATGGTGCCAGCCATCAGCCAGAACTGGACATTCCATGGCCCTGGGGCCACCGGCCAGGCTGCTGCCAACTGGATCGCTGGCTTTGGCCGTGGGCCCATGCCACCAACCCTGCTGGGTATCCGGCAGAATGGGCATGCAGCCAGCCGGCGGCTGCTGGGCATGGACGAGGTCAAGGGTGAAAAGCAGCTGGGCCGCATGTTCTACGCGATCACACTGCTCTTCCTGCTCCTCTGGTCACCTTACATCGTGGCCTGCTACTGGCGAGTGTTTGTTAAAGCCTGCGCTGTGCCCCACCGTTACCTGGCCACTGCTGTTTGGATGAGCTTCGCCCAGGCTGCCGTCAACCCGATCGTCTGCTTCCTGCTCAACAAGGACCTCAAGAAGTGCCTGAGGACTCACGCCCCCTGCTGGGGCACAGGAGGTGCCCCGGCTCCCAGAGAACCCTACTGTGTCATGTGAAGCAGGCTGGTAGGCAGACAGACAGGGAGAAGAAGGTCATGGCTGCCACGATGGGGCCAACAGAAAGGGAGGGATAGGGCCCCATACAGGAGCCTTTCTTGCAGAGTTCCAGCCCCAGTCCCTCAAACCACCCGGAATTTAGGCACCTTTGCCAACACCTCCCCAGGGGTGGGGGACTGGAAAGGAGGTATTTCTAGTTCTAGGGCCTGTCTCTGCTGCCTCCTTTTCCACTTCTACAATCTTTCCACTTCTCCTTCTCTCTCTCTTTCTCATTCTCTCTTTCTCTCTCTCTCTCTAATTCAGAAAAAGAAAACAAAACTGAAAATGCAGGTTTTTCTACTAACAGCTGAGGAGTCAGGCTTTCTTGCTTTAATGTCTCTCCTTCTGATACTGTCCAGAATGGGGAAATTTGTCCTGTAAAATAGACTTCCAGAGTTCTTCTGGCCCCCTCTGCTCCCATGCACCCTCCCCTTCCAAGCCCCTTAGCAAGGCCTGGATGTTTAGGGAGAAACTGATCTGTTGACGAGAGGGACCAAAGGGGGTGCAGGGTCCACAGGGAGCAGGGATGTTTAATTGCTATGTTGTGTGCAATGTTGTTTTAGGCTATCTCTGGTCCCAAGCCCAGTCTCCTCTTGCTTCCCCCCATGTCCAGACATCCCAAGTGTTTCTTGAGCATCTGTTTGAGAAGCCAGGAAGGGAGGGAGAAGGGCCCCCAGGATGGGCCCAGCCTAGGTGAAGAACAGAATGTGAGCTGCACGCCTGGAGCTGAAGAGACGTGAGCTTGACTGTATTCTTTCGAGCTGCCTCCTGGATACCCAGCCCCCAATTCTTCTTTCTGAGGAAGGAAATCTACTCCAGCCCCACTAGGGCTGATGTGGGTGCCATACTGGCAAGAGCAGCCCCCCAGGGAAGTGTAGGGAGAGAGCCGAACTCCCCAGTGTAGCTGGATTTCAGAGCCTGGTGTCAGAGCAAAATTCAACCCCAGAATTGTCTCCTGGATTCACACCACTCTCCCAAAGATGAAAATTCTTTTGGGGCCTTGTTATTGCATCGTGGATAAGTTTCAAGGCACTGTGGATTTGAGTCCATTCCTATCTGACCTCTTTTTGTCCTCCTCAAGCCTCAGGGGCCTCAAGCCCCTTTGTGGTAACCCCTGGTCTTCTGGGCCCTCCGCTCCTGACTTGCCTCCCTCCACCCTTACCTCCTCCCAGTGTGGAGCAGACTGTAGCCAGATCCCCCAGGTGGGTGATTCCAAGCTTTCCTCCCAGGGCAGAGTTCACTCTGGGATCATACCAAGGCCAGTGCTGGTGGACAGGGGATCCAAGCTGGCACTCCTTTGCCTGGTCTTGCCCAGGTTCTCTGTGGGAAGGGAAGATCTGTATGTATCCACCCTCTTTCCCTTCCCTACTGAAACTCTTGTCCTAAACCTTGACCCCAGAAGAATGGGGAGGGCACTCTAGGCAGGGGAGACATTAACGAGCCTGGCTGTGGAGTTGCCCTGGAAAGGCAGGCCAGAGTGGCTGAGAGGCTGGGGGTGGGGGGATACCTGTTCTCTCAGTGATAGTGATGGGGGTGCCTTTTCCAGGGGGTGGGGTGGGGGACCACAGGGGTGGGGGTAGATAGGGTACATTCAGGAGGGTTTTCCTCCATTTCTTTTTTCTAACTGCCTGGATTCACCATTGGATTTTGTAAATGGAAAACTGAAATGAACAATGCTATATTGGATGTTTTCTCTTTCTGACTGTGTGTGTGTGTGTGTATGTGTGTGTGTGTGTGTGTGTCTGTGTGTCCTGTCTGCATGACCACATGGGGAAGCATGATCGAGTGAGACAGTCTGTCTGTGTGATTTTGTGTGGGGAGGCACCCCTGCCTGGCACACACATGTGAGTAAATGCCTGTATGTGGAGACATATATGGCATGCACACACACGTACATGTATGCACCTAATTGAGAGGAGACAAACTAGAGTATGTGCCTGCATCAGGAAGTAGAGTGGTCGGACAGATGGAATTTGAAAACTGTACGTATGTATGTAGCAAGAGGGAGACTTCCATCTCATCAGACCTATCACCTTGGCCCAGGCTCTGAACATGGCAGAATACTTGAGAACACCATCTCTTCCCCAAACCTGGAGTCCCCAGGTACCACTTCCAACTCCTAAATCAGGCTCCTCTCCAAAACCCAAATATGGTGTTCCTGAAACTGGACCACCATGGAGAATGAGGACTGAGAATTAAGGATCCAACTTGGGGAAAGCTGATGAGGTTAAGAAATTCCCCTCACAAAGTAATGGCTTCTAGAGGGACTGCTCAGTCTGGGATGGGAGATCTTCTGAAGGGTCCACTTTATACAGCTGGGACTTTGGTAAGCTTGGCTAAATTCAGAGGGAGGGATGTCACAGGAGGGAACCCAAGCCTGGGAGTCTACCCAGCCACCCTGTTGCCTGGGCACTCAATTACTTTATTATTTATTTACTTATTCTCTCAGGTGCACAGAATTGAGTTGACCATACTCCTCAGTTCTTGGCACAACTATATCATCATTGATCCATGCGAAGCCCTTTTATTCTTTATTTAGTTTTGTTTTGTCCCCATCATCACCCATCCCTGATCCCATCCCCCCTCCCACATAGGCACCCACTCTCGTGTATTTAACATATGTCCTTCCAATCCACCACTCATGTGTTTATTTACATATATGTGTATCTGTGAAAAAATATATGGTATTGTTATGTGTTTTAATTTACATAAACAGTATTGTACTATAAATCTTGTTGTTTCTTTTTTCACTCAACATTCTGTTTTTGAGAGATCCAGCCATGTTGCTGTATGTAGATCTAATTCATTCTAGTGGTCCATCTTATACACATATATCACATTTTCCTTACCCATTCCCCTGGAAATGGGCCTCTAGGTTGTTTCCAGTTCTCTGCTACAACAATGTTGCAACGGGCAGTTTCCTACACTTCTCTCTAAGGCACCTCATTTAAAGGAGAGGAAACGGAAGCTCAGAGAGTTACAAACTGAGGAAAAGACCCATTATTTGAATCCCTACTAAAACCAGAACCCCACCACCATGCCTTACTGGAGACCATCCATCTGGTCATAAATTTTTTTCAAGTACAATTAAAAACATACACTGAGGAACGGGAGATGAAAGGAGGGGAAGAAGTATTGAGATGAAGAGAAAGTCCTAGAAAAATCTAGCATACGAACTGAATCACATCATTTTAATGACGCATAGGAAGTGACCTTTTTTTTTTTTTTTTTTTTTTTTTTTGCGTGATTATTATTTCTAGAGCCATTTTGCAGAGATGGAAAACGCCACGTCAAAACCTGGCCCCAAACCAAAGGCCCTAGGTTGCTACTGAACTCCTGGCTCATTAAGAGCCACCTGAGCCCCCAGGGGCCTCAGAAGAGTTTGTTGAAGGGCAAAAGCTGGGGGCAGGGGCAGGGGCACATTTAAGAAGTGCGTAGTTGCCTAGGGGAAAGGGAGGGGACGGAAGGGGAGGAAGGGATGAACCACAGCAAAGCTCTCCAATTTGATTTGAGCATGTCGTGCTCAGCGCCTGCGTTTGTTTTTTTGTTTTGTTTTTTGGTCTTAAGAACCATTGGTAACATTGGTTAATAAAATTATATAGGTTTCAGGGGTACAATTCTATAATACATCATCTGTATATTGTATTGTGTTCTCCACCCCAAGCCAAGTCTCCTTCCATCACCATTTATCCCCCCTTTACCATCTAATTCAATAAAAAAAAAAAAAAAAAAAAAAGAACCACTGGTACTTTTCCCATTGGATAAAACGTAGAGGGGTGAGGGAGAGGGGCTTCTTCCCTAAGCTTCTTCACAGCCAATTGCCCCGCAGTTTCCCTCTGGTCACGCGGGGGAGTCAGCCAATGATTGGCTGACTCGAGGGGAGCCAATGGGAAAATGATGAGGTGGGGTGTTGGCAAGCAGATTGCGTGAGGGCGGGTAGTGGTCTTGGGAGCGCGAGTGCCGCCTCTGTGGCCGGCAGCCAATGGCAAGGCAGCACTGGCCCCTGACGTCAGGGAGGGGCGGGCCTGGGCACTTGGCGCGGAGGGAGTAGGGCAGGCGCTGTGGGAGGGAAGGGCAGAGCGAGGCTGTGAGCGGAGCTGGTCGCGTGAGTCGCGACGGCTCCGCTGCAGGTGTGACAGGCAGCAGCGGCCTGGCTGAGCGTGAAGCGGCGAGCGCGGTTCCCTGAGCGGTGTGAGCGCGGCCACCATGGAGCGCCCGGATGAGGGGCCTCCAGCCAAGGCCCGCCGCCTGAGCGGCTCGGAGCCCCCTCAGGACGACGTGCCGCCGCCGCCGCCACTCCTGCGACTGCCGCTGCCTCCACCTGAGCAGCGCCCGAGGCTCCGGGAGGAAACGGAGGCGGCACAGGTGCTGGCTGACATGAGGGGGGTGGGACTGGGCCCTGCTCTGCCCCCGCCGCCCCCCTATGTCATTCTGGAGGAGGGGGGAGTCCGCGCATACTTCACCCTGGGTGCTGGGTGTTCGTGCTGGGAGCCTGATATTGAGTCTGGGTATGGGGGGGCGCCCCCTCCCACGGAGAGCCTGGAAGCGTTCTCTCCTGAGGTTTCTGGGGGAAGCCTGGAAATCGACATTCAGGTTACGGAGCCCAGCAGCTTTGATGGAGAGAAGGCCCTAGAAACCTGTAGCATAGGGGGACGGGGGTACCAGATGTTAGCCGGTCTGCAGGGGAAGGAAGAGGCCATCATCATAGTGGAAGACGATGAGGAAGAAGGAAAGGAAAGTGTGAGGAAGAGGAGGAGGAGGAAGAGGAAGCAGAGGAAGGTGAAGAAGGAAAGCAAAGAGATGAGTGCCGAGAAGATAGAGTACATCCTGCAGGCACTGGAAAACATTCAGCTGGACCTGGAGGCGGTGAACATCAAGGCGGGCAAGGCCTTCCTCCGTCTCAAGCGCAAGTTCATCCAGATGCGGAGACCCTTCCTGGAGCGCAGAGACCTGATCATCCAGCATATCCCAGGCTTCTGGGTCAAAGCAGTATCCTTGTCATCTATATTCATGGGCCAGGAGCCCATGACAGAAAGGGGAGTGGTGGGGGCAGGGACAGACAGGGTGAAAGGGTGTGGGGGTGGGCCTCTGTTGAAAGAACTACTAGGTTTGGTGGAGGAGGGATGGAAGGAAGGGGCAAAACATCAGAGAAGCTGGACTAGAGATGGTGAAGTGGGGAGGGGGCATACAACATAAAAACCGGACCATGATGGGGAAAGGGTGAAGATGAAGAGCACAACATAAAAATAAATGGATCACAGATTGTGAAAGGGGGTGGGTAGTAGAGGGGCACATAGCAGAAAAATTGGACCAAAGATGGTGAAAGGAGGAGGGAGGGGCACACAGAAATAAACTGACTCAGAGACTGTAAAGAGGGAGGGGAAGGGCACCATAGCAGAAAAATTGCCCAGAATGGTTCCCTAACTCACAAGTGCCTCTGCAAGCCTAAGTGTCTGCTTAGATACTAGGGAGACCCTAATCCTGGCTGGAGAAAGGGGGCTAGAAAGGGGCTGGAGCCCCTAAAGGGTCAGGAGAAGGAGTACCTAGGAATGAATATCAAGGAGTTAAAATGAAGGAAAGGGGAGAGTAAGAAAATCCCATTCACTACTGGTGATAAACTCATCTCTGGGGGACACAGATACAGACATGCAACATGACATGTCATGAACACATGGGTTTAATATCCTAACAGAATTGCATAGATACAGACCCTTGGCACTCTCATACAAAGTATCCATAATCACAGACACTCAGTACCCAGTATCATTTGGACACAAACCCTCAGATCAAGACACAGAACATCATGTGGACAAAGACCCGTAAACACTCAAATATACAACATCATGTGACTGTAGGCCCTCAGCAACAAGATATATCATTACTTGGACATGGGCCTTCAGCCCCCAGACACAACAAATAAGAACCATGGCAAGGCCACCTAATACAGAGGTTTGACATAGCATAAACACAGGCTCTTACCACATAGTGTCATGGAAATAAGTACAGACCATGTCCCATGACCCACTTGTTCCACACATATCAAATGAACACAGAAGGAATTCTGCTCCAGCTTCTCTTTTGCTTTGCACTGCCTGACCTGTCTGTCCTTCCCTCCCTCCTTCTCTCAATGAATAGTCACTCCTTGACCTAAACTGCTCCCTCCCTCAGTTCCTCAACCACCCCAAAATTTCAATCTTGATCAACCAACGTGATGAAGACATTTTCCGCTACTTGACCAATCTGCAGGTCAGGTCAAAGAGAGTTTTTTACTAAGACCAGGCAAGGAATCTGGTCATTGGAGGTGGGGAGGGAGAGGCCCTGGTAGAGTGAGGATTCCATCATTACCCCCACCCTGAGCAGGTACAGGACCTCAGACATATCTCCATGGGCTACAAAATGAAGCTGTACTTCCAGACAAACCCCTATTTCACAAATATGGTGATTGTCAAGGAGTTCCAGTGCAACCGATCGGGTAAGAGGGAGTCCCAGGGCAAATCCATGGGACCCACACCTACCCTTGCCCGGTGCCCTCTCCACAGCCTTTTTCCACAGGCCGTCTGGTGTCTCACTCCACTCCAATCCGCTGGCACCGGGGCCAGGAACCCCAGGCTCACAGGCACAGGAACCAGGACACCAACCACAGCTTCTTCAGCTGGTTCTCAAATCACAGCCTTCCAGAGGCCGATAGGATTGCAGAGGTGGGGCCCCTCCTGGTATTACCAGAGAAGACCTTGGCTAGGCTTGCCTCTGGATACCTGGGGAATTGAAATTGGTTCTGAGGCTTGTACTCATAGCTCTGTTCTCTCCCTTCTCCCTCTCTTGCAACAGATTATCAAGAATGACCTGTGGGTTAACCCTGTGCGCTACTACATGATGGGAGAAGGCAGCTACAGGGCAAACAGAAAGAAGCAAGAAAAGAAAGAAAGGTGATGGGGGATTGGAGGCTGAGAGGTGATTTATTAGTGTCGCACAGGATTTATAAAGCCAAAGGGGACCTTTGAGATAATTCAGTCCAATGTTTTACAAGTGGGGAATGATGCTGAGAAATGGGGTGTGATTGGCCTTAAGTTATACAATCAAGGGCAGAAGTGGGAATTTCCCCACCCTAGCTTTATCCCTGGGAGCCCTTGTAGCCTACTGCCTCCCTGGTTATTGACCACCTTTCAGTGTCTGTCTTGGGTACAATACCTCCCACCAAACTTATATTCAACCCTAGGCTTTCCCACAGTAAAAAGAGGGACAAATATGAGGTGGTGATCATGGAAGACTTTGATGACTATCAAGTGATGGAAGACATTATTGGCGAGACCTCAGACAGTGATGTTATCACCGACAATGAGACCATTCATGACATCAAGATCTCTGACTTCATGGAGACCACCGACTGCTTTGAGACCACTGACAACGAGATAACTGATATCAGCGAGAGCCTCTGTGATAGTGAGAGCCTCTGTGACAGCCCAGACCACAATGAGACCACTGACGAGAGTGCAGATGACAATGAGAATCCTGATTACAATGGTGAAAACCCTGATGGTGATGACGAGAATCCCAAAGGTGGCAGCTATGGCAACAACCTGGACAGCAGTGACAGTGACAATGATGGAGACAATGAGACCAGTGATGATGAAGATAATGATGGCAATGAAGGTGACAATGAAGGTAGTGATGATGATGGCAATGAAGGTGACAATGAAGGCAGTGATGAGGATGACAGAGACATTGATTTCTATGAGCATGACATTGAAGAGCCAGAGAAGGTTCAGGTTAACAGCAACAACCTGGATGTTTATGAGGATGAGGTAGAGAACGTCTTCGAAGAAGAATCATCAATGGAGGAAGAAGAGGAGGAGGGCAGTGAGGAAGGTGAGCTAGACCCCCTCTTGTCTTCCCTCCTTTCTCTTCTCTCAGAGAAAAGCAGCCCAGGATCAGGGAATCAAGGCATGAGCACAATTTGCCCTTTTGGAGAAAAGAAAAAGGCAGTGTAACTTAAAACAAAGCAAGGCCAGGGAATATTTAACTTACAAATTTAACAAAACCAAAGAAACATACTTCAGTTCTAGATGATGGGTAGATAGATTGTAACAGCAAAAGACAGAGGAAGGAAGAGATAGGAGAGAGTGGGTAGAAAACTAAAGACTAGGAGAGAGAAAGAATGAAGGAAGGAAGAGAGAGAGAGAAGGACGAAAGGGAGAGAGAGAGAAGAAAAGAAAGAAAAGAGAGAGAGAAAGAAAGAAAGAAAAAGAAAGAAAGAGAAAAAGAGAGAAAGAAAAGAAAAAAGTAGCAAACATATGCAATTCAGTATACTCTGTACCCAGCCCTGGCCTTCTGGAAACTCCCAGTTATGTTTGGGAAGTGGGGGGCAAAATGAACATTATGCTCTTCTGTGAGTCCAGAGGAGGGAACAACTAATTCTACCTCAATAATGAGGAAGGGGAAAACTAGAGATAGGAAGTGACACTTGAATTGGAGGCTGCATTTGTCTTAAGGAGTGTTATGAAGCATTCTCAGTAGAAATACCACATGAACAAGGACCTAGAAGGGTGAAAATGCATGGTTTGTTGGGTACGGTTTCCCAAATTGTCTTCTGAGGACCCTTCACCAGTTCTGAAAGCTGCTTCTCACAAAAAGTTTCGGTGGTCAAATATGTTGGAGAAAGTACTGCATACAGTAATATCTTTGTGTAGAATCACATGTATATTAGCACCTTAAAGACTTTGAGAGGTCCTGCTGTAGAAGCCTATATAAACTTTGTAGAACCCAGCATTTTCCAAGCCTTTTGGGAAATGCATATAGGGTTTGAGGGGAAATATGGAATTTAAGGGGACTCCCAGGTTTGATTCTGGCTGTGGATGACTGGAGAACAGAGATGCCATTTCCTGGGATGGGGAAGGGCATGGTGGTAAGATTGATGGGACGCAGGGAGAAACACGGAGTTGGAAGGGCTTTTGGACATAAGGCAGGCCTCTGGGGGAAGACCAACCACCCCTGGGGGTTTCGACCATGCAGTCAAAAACTTCCATTGAGGGCAGGGGCAGGGGACCAAGGAAGGAGGCACTGAAGGAATGAGTAGATTCAACCTAGACATTTTCAGGTTGACTAGGGAAATTGAGGGAGTTGGTAGCCCCATCCCCTCCTGCTGGATGATACCTCCTCTTTTGGAAGAGAGGCAGAGCTATCTGCCCAGCCTTGGGTAGGAGTGGGGGTGGGGAATTGGGCTGAAGAAGACAGACTGGGGTCTGTTAGGATCAGACTATGGAGAAGGAGCAAGGGAACTGCCTCAGGATGAATAGGTTTATTCAGTTGAGGTCACAGCTCAGGAAGAGACACACATTGATACATACAGGAAGAGAAAAATCTTTCAGAGATGTATCCATTTTGATAAGACAGAGGCAAGGAGCCCGCCCTACTTTCCTGCTTCCTTCCTACTGCCCTCCTCCAAACACTTGGCTGCCTGTTCCAAGCAGAAGTGCTTTTGCAAGTGGTCCCTGGGCCCTAACAGCCCTGGTTATGGTCTCTGTTCTGTTAAGGACATCTACTTGCCCATCTAACCACCCTCCTCCATTTTCCATTTATTTCCTCTTTCTCCCCTGTACTGCCAGGAGGAGAAGACAGTGATGACGAGGAAGGAAGTGAGGAGGAAGAAGACTGGGAAGACTCTGACATGGAGGAGGTGCTTCAGGTCCAAAACGCTTGGGCCAACCCGGAGAAGAGGGGCAAAACCGTATAAACTCAAGTCTCACCCTTGCCTTTGTGGCCACTGCCTCTGTATTCCTCTCCCTCGCTCCATTTTCCCTCTCCCTCAGCTAGGGCCTTGAGGCCCCACATTGCACTTCTGGGGGGGTGACCGACTTCGTACACGGGTTTGAAGTTTATTTTTATGGTTTAGTAATTGCAGAGTTCTTATTTTGGGCGGGGAGGGAAAGGGGGATTCCCCCTTCCTTTTGGCCCTCCTCCCTTGCAGGCTTCTGTGTGCTGCTACGTATTTATTGTGATGCCTTGGCCAGGGCCCTTCTGCCCCTCTCCTCGTGCTATATGGAGTGGACACCCTCGATCCTGAAGCGGGGAGGGCTGCTGTGGCTTTGGGGGGCTCTGCTGCCACCCTGTTGTCCTAAGTCTCTCTCTTTCCCTCACCTTTCCCCGCTGTGCCCGCTAGCCCGCATCGGTGTCTATGCAAGGCCGCTTTGCCATTGCGGTATTCCTGCCTCCCTCCCCCAGAAGCCCTGCCTCATTCCCTGTGAACCCTGGTAATCCTAATAAATTTCGGAGCAAATTCAAAGTGCTGCTTCGAGTCTTTGTTCCGTCCGGTGCGCTGTCCCTAGCTGCAAGTCTCCCTTGCTATAGGCCCACAGGTAGCCGGCTGGACTACGCACTGGCCTGCAAGATGGTAGTTTCGAGGAGTTGGGGTGGGGGGATTTGGCTGGCTGGGGTCCTGCTCTGCCTGGCTGCAGAGGTGTGGCGTCGGGCCAATGCGGACCATTCTGGCCAATGGCAGGAGGAGGCTGAGGAAGCCCCTCCCTCTCCTGGTGGCTGCAGTGGACTCAGCCAGGTATCAAACAGCTTCCCACGCCTTCCCCTCGCGCAGGCGCGCAGAAACGCTCTGCGCCCCAGAACATCTATTTATCCAGTGATTCATCTTTTAATTTATCTTGCGTCAAACCTTAGGCCTAGTGTGAGCTGGGTAGGGGAGGGGGAGCCGGAGGAATCCATTGTTCTTGCTTGCATGTAGTAGAAAAAAATATCAGTTGGGACAGGGTGGAAGGGGGGCGGGGGTCCCTGGAGCTGGACCTGGAAGAGAAGGCACAAAAAGATGACTTAGGCCGAAGAGTTTGCATAGAGATAAGGGCAAAGCAAAGAGAAATTACTGTGTAGCTGTATGATGGCGGGGGTGGCGGGGGTGGCGGAGGGGGGGGTGGCGGGGGGTCAGGAGTTGGAAGTGTGAAAGGCAGGCTTTATCTGGGAGACCTTGGAAAGTCTGAGATGTTGTAAATTTTGGATACAGTAATGTTATTTCAGGGACACCAGAAATACCTCCCAGATTCTTTGGATAATAATGACAACTTACGTAGCCATCGGAGTCAGTTTTCTGCAATATACTTCCAGAACTTTCCATTCAACGCCCTCATTTTGTGGAAGGATTCAGATTTGCATTTTATAGAATGCCCTCTGCTGGCTACCAGCAGAAGGGACTGGAGGAAGGGAGAGCAGTTAGCTAAGTTATACCTCAGGTCTAGAGTGGCGTGATGGGGCTGAATATAGGAGGTTTTTTAAATAATTTTTATTTTATTTTAGTAGTTTCTGATTTACAGAATTATTGCGAAGCTAATACAGACAGTTTCTATATATTCTACAGCCAGTTTCTGCTAATGTTAACATTAGTATTGTACATCTGTCACAATTAATGAACCAGTATGAATACTGTATTGTTAACTAAACTCCATACTTTATTCATATTTTATTAGTTTTTACCTAATTTTGTTTGTTCCAGGATGCCACATTACACCGAGTCATCATGTCTCTGTAGGCTCCTCTTGGCTGTGATAGTTTCTGAAACTTTCTTTGTTTTTGATGACCTGGAGTCATCAACATCTGAGGAGTACTGGCTAGGTATTTTTTTTTTTTTATCCTCACCCGAGGATATTTTTCCATTTTTTGTACAGATAGAGTGGGAGGGAGAGAGAGAGAGAAACATCGACGTGAAGGGACACATCGAGTGGCTGCCACCCGCACGACCAACCAGGGCCGGGGACAAACTGCAACCGAAGTACGTGCCCTTAGCGGGAACCAAACCCGGGTCTCTCCGGACCGCAGGCTGACGCTCTAACCGCTGAGCCAAACTGGCCAGGGCCTGGCTAGGTATTTTGTAGAATTTTCCTCAAGTGTGATTTGTCTGATGTTTTTCTCATGATTAGAGTGAGGTTATGGGTTTGGGGAAGGAAGACCACAGAAATAAAGTGCTATTCTCATTGCATCATATCAAGGGTATGTGCTATCAATATGCTTTATTAGCCCGGCCAGTGTGGCTCAGTGGTTGAGCGTCCACCCATGCACCAAGAGGTCGCCAGTTCGATTGGTTGGGGCACATGCCCAGGCTGTGGGCCAAATCCCCAGTGAGGGGCATGCAGGAGGCAGCCAATCAATGTTCTCTCTCATCGATGTTTCTATCTCTCCTTCCCTCTCCCTTCCTCTCCCTCTAAAATCAATACAGAAAAAAAATGTTTTTTAAAGTATCATTGGCCATTTAGTTTAAAAATGCAATTGTTTGTTCACATACATCACTTGCTTTATGTACAATAAGTGAATGGGTAAGGGGAAATGAGAAAATAGAGAAAACTATACTGTAGTAGTCAGGATGTGGTGGATCCAAATTGTGGTTTTAATTGAGAATGTCTTCTTGGTCTGGAGGAACTGAGTTCTGGAATAAAGTAGCAGGTTCCATTTTTAGTAGACACCTCCTGTCTGCTTCAAGAACACATCAGTTGTATCTTCATCCTCCATGTCCAATTGTGCAGCTGTGTTTGTTTCATTGATTGGCTACCCATCAAATCGGAATCTGATCTGCCTCATTGACAAATCCTGTCGTTCACAATAGGCTTTCATTAGTTTACTAAGTGGTATATGCCTCTTAATCTTAAACTGCACTCCAGAACCATCCTACCCCACCACCTTCAAATTAATATGATTCTTGTTCTCAGTCTTGACTCCTTCCTTGGGCTTTTTTTCAGCCATGGTGAGCACTAGAGTCTCCTCGGCTGCAGCTTCACAAAAGAGGTACCAGGTCTACACCAAACAAGCACACAAGCAGTGCCAGTAGTGGCAGAAGCTAACAGGCTTTAGGTATGGGAAAAGGAGGATTGAGAGAAGTCAGAGGTGGCTATCAGGTTGCTGTGGAACCTTTTGCAAGGCCCCTTCCTCTGTGGGCCTCTGTGAAATGGTTGGAATACCAGATCTTGGACATACTCCATGATTTTGATAAATGTTTTGGGGAGAGCATGGAGGCTAGGATGCTTCTATTTCTGACCTGGGACCTCACTGTCAGAAGTAGGTAGAGGAGACTCTAGCCCAGAAAGGGGAACATCTTGCCTCAGCACCAGAGCTGAGAGTGCAGGAGCCTGAGTCAAGGCATCCTATGCACAGGGAAGAGACAACTATGCGCAATATCTGGAACAAGTTCCAACGAGCAGGTGTTGAAATGAAGTTGAGGAGAAAGCAGCAGGGGCAAAGGGCCTGGAGTGGGCCAGGAAGAGGTGAGCCTGGCAAGAGGATCCCAGCCAGTCTGAGAAACAGATGGCCTGGGTACCCTTGCCTCAATCTACTCTGCCTCACAACGTGACTCCCTCGTCCTCTCTAGAGAGCCTCTATTTTCCCATCTGCAAACAGGCTGATCATGCATTAGCCCAGGAGAAGCAATCTGCCTAAGTTCCTAAGATGGAATCCAGACTTGATGTAGACCTCTGAGGCCTAGCCTACATCAAGCTCTTCCCTGATTCCTCTTTGTCTTCCTAATCAAATCCCTGGCCCCTCATCCTGGCATTTGAGTCTCCTCTTCACCCACCCTGTCAAGAGAGGGCTACTCGCTTCAGGGACACTGTTAGGAGCTAAGTATGGGACTCTAATATCGGTAACCAGGGTGCTCGTGTCTTGTCCTGAGGCATGGGAGGGAGAGGATGTTTTTTGCCTAGAGTGAGATCCTGTTCTCTGTGCCCTCCTTAGTGTATGGTGTGGCTTCAGGTTCTGCGCAGTCTGGGCCTCCAAAAGGAATGAACTGTTCTAGAAGATCTTCAAGGTCACATCCAACTCCAAAATATAGTCTTTGCTGAAGACCAGAGAAGATGGGCCCCATTTTCTGGGACCCTAAATAGAAACCAGAAGGAAGACCAGGAGGAGAAGGAGGAATTGTGGACCCAATGTACCCCAGGGCCTGTTCTTGTGCTGAAGCTAATTGTCTTTGTGTCCTTCACAGCTCACCTCATTCCTTTGCAGCAGAGGGCCCTGCTCCTGGGGGTGAGTTCCCAGAATCTCCTTGGGCCAGACTTTTAAAATGCCACCCAGTTCTATGAACCAAAGATTGGCAAAATTGAACCAAAACTAGATTCAATGTCCTTCCTTCTTAGGTCACCAGAAGGGCCAGCACTGGCTCCCTCTGTTGGGGATGTGTAGGATGGTTAGGGAAGATGTGTGCCTGATACTAAACTGGGTGATAGGGATATAACAAGGAAACATGACAGACCAAGTCGTTGTCCTCTTGGAGCCCAGAGTTTAAGACAAGTTTTTGTTTGTTTGTTTGTTTGTTTGTCTGCCTGTTTTTGGCTTTGACTGTATTTTTTTTTTTGCCTTGTGTTTTTTTTACTTTTTTATTTTATTTATTTATTTATTTTTTTATCCTCACCTGGGGACATTTTTCCATTTTCTGTTCAGATAGAGTAGGAGGGAGAGAGAGGGAGGGAGGGAGGGGGAGAGAGAGAGAGAGAGAGAGAGAGAGAGAGAGAGAGAAACATCGATGTGAAAGGGACACATCCAATGGCTGCCACCCACACAACCCAACCCCAACCAGGGCCGGGGACAAATTGCAACCAAGGTACGTGCCCTTAGCGGGATCCGAACCCGGGTCTCACTGGACCGCAGGGCGATGCTCTAACCGCTGAGCAAACCGGTCAGGGCTTATTTCTTTTTTTAAATTGATGTTGTTTAGAGAGAGAGGAAGAGAGATGGAGAGAGAGACAGAGACAGAGACATTGATGAGAGAGTGAAACATGGATTGGTTGCCTCCTGCATACCTCCTACTGGGGGTCAAGCCCACACCTGGGCAGGTGCTCTGACTGGAATCACCCAAACAACTGAGCCACACCAGCCAGGACAGTCCTGATAAATCTTGTACCCATCTCACATCATACATATTTATTATAATATTACTGACTATATTCCCTTTGCTGAACTTTACATCCCCGTGACTATTCTGTAACTACCAATTTGTATTTCTTAATTTCTTCACCTTTTTCACCCAATCCCCCAATCCTCCTCCCATTTTCCAAAAACCCAGTCCTCCAACTCCCCCACTCCCTTGGGCAACCACCAGTTCTCTCTGTGTAAGAGAGAACTATGTATGCCACAGATCTGTTTGATGGTCTGGTGAAGCCTATAGCTCTTTCCTAAGAAAATAGTATCTTTTAAATGCATAAAATAAAATATATTTGGTTACAAAAGAAACTGATTATATTGAAATATAGTTATTAAAATATGGAAAAGGCAAATATGTGCTATAG